TTTTTTTTTTTTGGGTGATTTTATACTATGGAGTGAATAAAAAATTCTATGGAGCCCATGCAAAGTAAATGCGTGTGCTAGTGGTACTTTTGCATGGGCCATATATATATAAGATCGAGCGTGACCTTGATTTAAATATGCTTGAGTTGAATCATGGAATTAGCATGAATTAAATGATTAAATTGATGACTTAGGAAAAATGGAAAATTTTTAAGTCTCGTTGTGCATTTTAGCGGAACCAATAAACGTCACTTGTCACATCACTTTGGTTTGGTAGGCCTTTACCACATCTAAAGGTCTCTGTCAATTTACAAGATCTAATGGCTAAGATTAAATCAACGGAATGGTGCCTTCACGGCACCGTAGCCAGCCCCTATATATATATATATATATATATATATAAATAATGAATCATCACACTACAAAAATTTCCGTTCGAATAGCTATTCCAACGGATATTCGTACGTATAAAAATTCGTGGGAAAAACTGTCGTTGGAATAGCTAAAATCCAACGCAAAATCCTATGAAAATAATTTTCTGCAGCTATTCCAACGGAAAAAAATTCATTGGAATTTCTCAACCATACAACACTTATTCCAACATAAAATTAAGTTTGTTGGAATATTCATTGGAATTTCCAACAGAAATTTTTAACGTTGGAATTGAAGTGTTTTCTTGTAGTGTCATGCTTTTCTGTAATTAATTGAACTAGTAGAAATTGATAATTATGAGACAATTTTATTTAGAATGAATTAGATATAGGGATTGGAGCCCTAATAAATAGCTATATTGCATTTGTAATCTGTTTAATAATGTGAAATATAAAATGGAGCAAAAAGCCTTACTCCTCATAATTTTTATTTTATTTTCTTTTTATTATTTTTGAATATCCTAACCCTAGACAAATCTTTTATTAAAGAAAAATATCATGTATGCTAGCCTTTTGGGAGTGCTCAATTTGTGCTTTCAAATTATGAAATGAGTATTGTATTGAAGATGTTTTATAAAGACTTTCAGTCAAGGATCATAATTGAGTATAGTAATATTCCATGTCATTTCATCTTTTGTGCAATGATAACTGGTACAAGAAAGTAAGATATTATGAGTATTACCAATAAAATTTCTATAAAAAAATTGAAATGTTAGGTTTAGTTAGTTGTTATATGGAGTGAGACCATTTCCTATTTCATTTAATTGAATATTTGCACACGTGTACGTGATGGTGTCATATTAATTTGTACATGTGTTTTCATTCTCTGTTTATTTAAACACATGATGAAATATGCAAATGAAACATGAAATTGGATTCCTATATGGTATCATTTAAGTTCAAATAATAATATATAGGTTAATTTTTTTTTCACTTTAATTAATTAACAATGAAAAAATTAGAGACTTGCAAAATAAATGTGATTGAAGAGAGATGAAAGTGGAGCAAGAAGTAGGTGTTTGGGCCAGTTTAGCACCACTGAAAGGAAAAAATGTGGGGCCCGGTGGTACTCAGGCGCTAATTTGTGGTGGGCCGATGAGGTCCAATGGGCTTCTTGTGGACTACATAAGTCGAATTTAGAGAAGTTTGTTCTCTTATTTAATTATGTGGGCCTTTTTACAAGCTTCCAGCTGACAAAGGATTGGAAATGGGGCTTTTTTGTTCATATTTGAGTTCATATTTGATTTATTGGATGTAGTTGGTTAAAAAAAATTGGATAAAATAATAATTGGGTAGAAATTTGAATTTGTATATGAGTTAAATTGTAAATATTAAATTTAATTTGGTACAGTAATGATTATAAATGATAAAATGATTGGTAGTAAGAAATATTACTCAAGTTACATTCACACACACATATGTATATTTTCACTTTCAGTATAGTTTTTATTTGTAAAAAAATAAAATAAATTATAGATCAGTTTTTTGAATAATTAATTTACTTCAAAAATTTTGACTCTAGCTTTCACTTTGATTTTAGATTTAAAAAGGTTATGATCTATATTGTTTTATAGAATTATAAGAAATTGTGTTTTGGTTATTTAATTAAAATTTTGAAAGCTATCCTGAAAAATGTGACAATGAAGTATGTATTAACTAACAAATTAACTTTATTTTTCCACGGTTTTATATTATCATATGAACCTAGACATGTTCACGGCTGAACCGGCCGTGCCTCCTAAGGGCCGGTTCTCAGTCCCGGTTCATTTTTTTTGGTCCAATCGGTTTGAGCTGGGCCGGGTCGCAAGTTGGACAACGGGCCACAATATTATTATTATTATTATTATTATTATTATTATTATTATTATTCTTTTAGGGCCATACCGGCCTGAAATCCGTCTGGTCGGTGAACCGGCCGTTCAGGGCTAGTTCTATGAACCGCGGCCCGCCCATATAAATGGGCGGGCCGGTCACGAGCCATATGAACCGGCCCATATAAATGGTCCGGGCCGGGTTGGATTGCGGCCCGACAATTGGCCACGGATATATGAGCCCCTCCAAAATTGTAAGAAAAATTTTCAGAATTTTTTTTTTTTT